GTGGGTTTGGGGTGCGAGGGATGCGGCCCCACGGTATGGTATAGGGTTATTTTTGTAAATTTGTACTAGGGTTTATTTATTATAAAAGGAGATGTAACCTAGATGTAACCTAAACCTATAAGACATTGAATTGAATAAAAATTCTAGCGTCGTCTAAGACACCGAGGACGTAAGCACATTGCTGAACCTCGTTAAAATTCTTGTGTTCTTTCTGTTTTCTTTACCCGATTATTCAACAATTGGTATTAGTTGTCAGGAGCCAAATTCAAAGTTGCGAAATTCGATGGTTAGGGTAACTTTGGATTGTGGAAAACAAGGGTGAAGGATCTGTTGGCGTAGCAAGGGATCCTGAAGGCTTTGTAACCTACAAAGTCGGTGTTGATGGAGGAGGAAGATTGGGAAGAATTGCAGCAGCGAGCGAACATGAACCATACGATTATGTTTGGCGGACAAGGTCATGTATCACATCATGTATCTGTAGTCTCCAGATGAAATTTGGAAGAAGTTGGAAAGTCAGTTTATGTCCAAATCCTTAAGGACTAAACTTTATCTAAAGTAGCGATTGTATGGGCTGAAGATGTAGGATGATCATGATTTGGCGCAACACGTGAATGTCTTCAATCAAATCGTTTCTGATTTGGCTCGGCTTGATGTGAAAATTGAGGATGAAGACAAAGTGATGATTCTGTTGTGTTCGTTGCCTCCCTCTTACAAACACATGGTTACTACTCTTACATATGGGAAAGAGACTATCAAAGTTAAGGAGATTACTACAGCCTTGTTGGCTCACAACCAGCGGAAGCAGAATGTAGGGGAAAGCTCTCAAGCTGATAGTTTATATGTCAAGGGTAATCGAGACCGTGGATGGAAGCCAGAGAAGACAGGGTCTGGGAAGCAGAATTTCAGATCCAAATCTAGGGATAAGAAGACAAATCACTCTTACAAGTGTAAGGAGGCAGGATATATGAAGTGAAACTGTCCGAAGTTGAAAAAGCAGACCAATTAGAAGCATGATGACTCATCTAAGTCTCTGAATGTGGTCGAGGATGATAATTCTGATTGTAGTGAGGGTAATATGCTCTCTATTTCAATGACTCAATTGACGGATGCTTGGATTCTTGATTCTGGATGTTCTTATCGTATTATGCCAAATAGGTAATGGTTTTCGACATACAGGTTGGTTAATTCTGGTATTATCTATTTGGGTGATGATCGATGTTGCAATTTTGTTGATATTGGTGATGTCAGAATTAAAATGTATGATGGTTCTGTTCGGACGTTGTGTGGTGTTCGGCATATCCCATATTTGAAGAAGAATTTGATTTCTTTGGGCACTTTGCACAAGAATGGTTTTATCCCTAAGGCTGATGAGGATAGGAAAACCATTCGGATTGTTAAAGGAGCTTTGACTGTGATAAAAGAAAAGATGACTACAAGAAATATTTATAGATTGTTAGGGAGTACCGTTGTAGGTGGAGTTCATTCTGTTGAGTCCTGTGATGATACTACCAAACTGTGGCATATGCATCTTGCTCATCTTAGTGAACGTGGTATGACTGAATTACATAAAAGAAATCTGTTACATGGCGTTAAAATTTGTAAGCTCGATTTTTGTAAGTATTGTGTTCTTGGTAAACAGACTAAAGTTCGTTTCAAGATTGGGAAGCACATAACTGAAGGGAATCTTGATTATGTGCATTCTGATGTATGGGGGCCTTCCACGACATCGTCTTTGGGTGGATCTAGGCATTATGTTACTTTTATTGATGATTTTTTCATGGAAAGTTTAGGTGTATTTTTTGAAACAGAAGTCTGACGTTTTGTAGAAGTTCAAGATGTGGAAAGCTGAGGTAGAAAACCAAACAGGATGAACAATCAAGTGTTTGCGGTCTGACAATGGTACGGAGTAAATAGATTCACAGTTTCTAAACTTTTGTAAGGAGCATGGGATTAAGAGGCATTTTAAAGTGCGCAAGACACCATAACAGAATGGTGTTGCGGAACGAATGAACAGGTCGTTCAATGAAAGAGCCAGATATTTGCGGTTGAATGCGGGGCTTCCCAAACACTTATGGGTTGAGGCTGTTAACATGGTGTGTTATCTTATCAATAGATCGCCAAGGGCATCATTGGCTGGGAAAGTTGCAGAAGAGGTATGGACTGGTCATGATGTTACTTTTGATCACTTACAAATTTTTAGTTGTCCTGCTTATGTGCATGTACCTGCTGATGAGAGATCCAAACTTGATGCAAAATCGAATGAGTGCATTTTTCTGGGTTACAAGAAAGGTGTCAAAGGATTTAAGTTCGGGGATCCAGTTACGAAGAAAATTATGATCAGTAGAGATGTTGTTTTTGATGAACAACCCATGTTGCAGCAAAAGAAAGACACGATAGTGGTGGATTTCGAGCAGTTTCCAGTTGAGAAAACAGAAACTTCTCAACCGACTTCTGGTGGTTTCGCTATGGTTGATTTGTAGGATTGCAGTCTCGCCAGAGACAGGGTGAGACAGACGAATATAAAGCCTCCGAACAGATTGGGTTTTGAAGACTTTGTCTCTTTTTTCACTTACTGTTAGCAGTGATGATTCGATTACTTTTCATGATGTTGTTACTTGTCAAGAAAACGACAAGTGGATGGCTGCCATCATTGAGGAGATTGAGTCTTTGAATCAAAATCGTACATAGGAGTTAGTTCGTCTTCCTGAGGGTAAGAAGCCTATTGGTTACAAATGGGTGTATAAGAAGAAACTAGTAGTAACAGAAAAAGAGGGGGAGAAGTTCAAGGCTCGTTTGGTAGCAAAAAGTTTTTCACAACAGAAAGGAGTTGATTATGATGAAATTTTTTCTCCTGTGGTCAGGAACACTTCAATCCGAGCAGTACTTGCATTGGTGGCTAGTTTGGATTTGCATTTAGAGCATATGGATGTTAAAACTTCTTTTTTGCATGGTGATTTAGAGGAGTAGATCTACATGCAGTAGCCTGAAGGTTTCACTCAACCTGGAAATGAGCATTTAGTTTATAGATTGAAGAAATCTTTGTACGGGTTGAAACAGTCTACGAGACAATGGTACAAACGGTTTAACTCCTATATGATCAAGATTGGCTACAAGCGATGTGAGTATGATTGTTGTGTCTATGTTAAGAGCCTTGATGATGATTCTTTTATTTTTATGTTACTGTATGTTGATGATATGTTAATTGCTGCAAAGAACATGAATGATGTTATCGTTTTGAAAACTTTATTGAGTCAGGAATTTGATATGAAAGATTTAGGTGCTGCAAAACAAATTCTTGGAATGGAAATTTGCAGGGACAGAGACTTAAGGAAACTGTGGCTATCTCAACGGGGTTATATTGAGAAAATTCTAGAAAGGTTTGCAATGAGCAGCACAAAACCAGTGAGCACTCCATTGGCGAATCACTTTAAGTTCTCATAAGAACAATGCCCTAAGACATATAAGGAAGCTGAAGATATGGCAAAGGTTCCATATTCTAATGTTGTTGGATGCTTAAGGTATGCAATGGTATGTACTCGTCCTGATTTAGCTCATACAGTTAGTCAAGTTTGTAAGTACATGTCCAAACCTAGTAAGCAACATTGGGAAGCAGTAAAGTGGATATTTAGGTACTTAAAGGGTTCTGTGGGACATGGAATTATTTTTGGTAGTCAGCGGGATAATCCTTTGGTTGTAGGATATGTGGATTCAGACTATGTGGGTGACTTGGATAATAGAAGATCTACGATAGGGTATGTCTTTACTCTTGGTGGAGGGCCTATTTTTTGGAAGTCTACTATTCAATCTGTTGTGGCATTATCTACAAATGAAGTTGAATACATGGCAACGGCTAAAGCTGCAAAAGAAGCTTTATGGCTTACTAGTTTAGTGAAGGAGTTGGGTGTTCAGCAAGGTGGAGTTCAGTTGATTTGTGATAATCAAAGTACTATTCACTTGGCTAAGAATCATGTATATCATGCTAGAACCAAGCATATTGATGTAAGGTTTCACAGGATCAGAGAGTTGGTTGTATCTGGAGAGATTTTGTTTTAGAATGAACATAATGATGAGAATGCCACTGATATGTTCACCAAGCCAGTTACGATAGACAAGTGCATGCATTGCTTGGACTTGTTGAATGTTTCGAGTTGTTAAAGAAGTAAGGTAACCCAACCCACATTGAATGTTTCCTAAGGGGCAGGATATTCGCCAAGGTAGAGATTTGTTAGGTATGGCTCATAAATATATCGGTAAAGGAAAGTCTCGTAGAGGGGGTTACGATTACGTGGGTTGGGGGTGCGGAAGCCCCGCAGTATGGTACAGGGTTATTTTTGTAAATTTATATTAGGGTTTATTTATAATAAAAGGAGATGTAACCTAAACCTATGAGACATTGAATTGAATAAAAATTCTAGCGCCGTCTAAGGCACCGAGGACGTAAGCACGTTGTTGAATCTCATTAAAATTCTTGTGTTCTTTCTGTTTTCTTTACCCAATTATTCAACATAAATTTTGGTAAAAGGACTTCATGAATCGCTCATAATTTTAATTTGACAAATTAATCCTTATTAGAAAATATTTTAATAACCTCACTTTAAAAGGTAACATAGGAATTATACATCTTTTGGGACGGACTTGGTAACCCTCACGCTACCCTACTTCTAATGAAAAATATTATAATAAAATTACATGATATTGCGTGTGGACTCTGAGGCACTGACAAACCACTGATTATAAGTTGAAGAGTTGAAGCAAATTGGGAAATAGATCCAAACAAAGACAGTAATTAAGGCGAATCCAAAGAGATTTAGATTTTTTTTCCCTTTCGATTTCTTTCTCGAAAGCCCTATTTAAATACTTGGGTTTAGCTATCTACTTTGTCACATGCAAATTGTCTCACCTTTCTCATCTTCTTCCATAACTTGTCTCCTTTACTGCTCCTCAGCACTTTTTTATATCTCTCTTACTTTGCATTTGCACCAGCTTTGTAATATACCAACATGTCTAGCAGAAGGTCCAGATCACGGCAATCGAGTAGTTCAAGAATAACTGATGATCAGATTTACGATCTTGTTTCCAAATTGCACCAACTTCTTCCTGAGCTTCGAAGCAGAAACTCTGATAAGGTATTTGCTTAAATAGTTTTTGAGTTCGGATCTGTACTTTTTCTTGTCCTTAAACCCTTAGTTTAGGGCTTCCTTTATACCAAAAAATTATTAAGATCATTAGAGTTATGAGTCAATTTTTTCTTAGATCAGACCATGAAGTTATAATCAAAACAATAGTAATAATGTGAGATATGCCGGTCTTCCCCTATGGTCGTGGTTTTTCGTTTTGTAATGTAACAAATTTTGGTAATTTTTTGACATAGTGAAATTTTCTTTTACTCTATCCATGATTTTTCCCTTGTAGGTTTTTCACATAAATCTTGATATTAGAGTTATGACTCAATTTTTTAGTTTAGAATTTCCTTTATACCAAAAATTATTAGGATTATTAGAGTTATGAGTCAATTTCTGCTTAGATCAGACCATGAAGTTACAATAAAAAAAATTGATACTAGTGTCAGACCTGCAGTGCGAGTGGAATTTTCTTCTCCTATGCATTGTAAATAGAAAATAAGGAATAGGGTTCTGTGATGTAGTGAAATTTTCTTTTACTTTACTCGTTGTTTTTCTCTTCTGGATTTTTACGTAATCATAACGTTCTATGTTTTTTTGTTCGACTGTATTCGTTTGTTGTTAATCGTTCTGATAATCATAACAAAAATGATGAAGAGACGAAAAGGGTTTTCAGACTTTGTAGTTATGGATTAATCAGATGTAATTATTGTTGACAGGTATCGGCAGCGAAAGTGTTGCAAGAAACTTGCAACTACATAAGAAGCTTGCACAAAGAAGTGGATGATCTGAGTGAGAGATTATCGGAGTTACTAGCAACGACCGACAGTGCCCAAGCTGCCATCATCCGAAGTTTGCTTATGCAATAGATCTGTTAAACTTAGGGTTAATAGGTCTGTTTTAGTTTGTCTTATCCCTTTATTTTTCTATATTTGCTCTAGAGCTTTGTTAACTAGCTAGCTAAGAACCTAGTTGAAGTTCAATGCCTAGAAAATCATGGAATTAAATAATATATTTATTATTATTATAATAAGTGATCAGTGATCTTGATCCACTCATCAAGCCTCTCTCAACGTGAAAATGCGATCAAGTCTCCAATTTCAAGATATTAAACTACTTTTAGTACATAACCAAAGCATATTATTTATATATTTATAATGAACTGTTTAGATCAAGTTGGTATTTTCTTGACCTTAAAAATATATTCATCATAGCACGAATCAAGTTACCTTAGTAATTAAAGGGATAGTTATCATCTTTAGGGGTTTCAAGTTTGAACACCATAAATTGTAAGGATGTTTGAACTTATGTTGTCAAATAATTGAAATTCTTTAGAACATATACCATATTGTAATCACTCTAGATTATTAAAAAAATACATTAATAAGGATCAACTACACTGTGTAAAGCCAAAATAGTAGACAAAAGCATATAGTAAATGATTCATAATTAATCAACGGATTAAGATCAGGGATAAATCGAAGAGATCTTGTAATGCAGTCATATCTCTTGAAATCCTTTATAATTTAGATATTTTCTTTATACTTTGTATTAATAATTTAATTTTTCACCTCTAAATTTTATAATTCTATATCCTCTGCATTTCTAATATTACTTAGAAAGTTCACACCTAACTAATCTTTGTACTCCCTCATGAAAAACAAGGATTAGTTACAACTTTAAATAATAAAACAAAGAGTGAGATAGATATAGTAAGTGCTAGAGGAATCCTATAAGAAAAGAATCAAATAATATAAATAAACTTTCCAATATAAAAATTTAGCAATTGCATCACCTCTCCTTGACCTTTTCTTTAATAGTCGGGATGATTATAGATAATATATGCTCATGATAATATATATATATTTTACATGTGCAACTACTCAAACCCAAGACATATAGAGAGAACAACACTCCCTTTAATCATTGAGTCCACTTGATGAATATTTTATTTGACACCGAACCTTTAGTATTAACTTAAGGGTAAAGTACACAAATGATCACTAAACCATAGGGTGATGCTTTGTTAAGTTCTCATACTATTAAAAGAAACAACATAGTCTCTTGATTATAGGACATTGTTTTGTTGAGTCCATTACTATTAAAAGTTACAAAATGATCACCCAACTATTCATATATTCCAAACTCATCATTTTTTCGTTAAAAAATTGAGTGCGGTTTGAGTTGGACATTAACCTATTAACTGGGATATGATAAAACATGATCACAGAATCTCAAAAGAATATCATATCCCAGTTAGCATGTTAATAGCTCAAATGACCATCAATTTTTAATGGAAAATGATGAGTTTGGAACATATTGATAGTATTAATAGTCGGGTGACCGTTTTATAACTTTTAATAGTCAAGAGACTCAAAAAAGCAACACCCTATAATCATAGGACCATTTTATAACATTTAATAATTAGAAAAATCGACAAAGCAATAATTGATATTAATAGTATAAAATGAAAAGAATTTCACAAAAAAAATAAGAATAAAGAGATCATCTTAACTGTTTGTTTTTACTTATTGAATAATCATAAAAAGTATAAAATTAAAAGTTTTACAGTGTAAGTAGATTTTAATCTATATATATAAAGCTTATGTGAAGAATTTGACAAATCCTTTTAAAAGTAAGATTTTTTTATATCATTTTAACTGTTGGGAGTATGGTGCAATATTTTCCGGGCGTTATGGTATGCATGTATGTATCATGAACATATGGGTAGCCCCTGCCTTACGCACTCAAATTAAGCACAAAAGCTGCATGGGGATAAGTAGCTTTGACTCTGTGTTTGTCCTCCACTAACTAATTTATTATATGATTTAAATACCAGTATCGAAAGATAGTAATGGTTAAAAGAATTAGGACCGTAAATGTGTAAAGTTAAATTTAAGTATTATTGACCTAGTCTCAACTCAAAAATTGTAAAATTGAGTTTTAACTCAATTGAAAATTTTAAAAGTTTAAAATTGTCAGTTTGACTCAAACTCAAGATAAAAAATTAAAGCTCGACTCGATTCGAAAACTCTTGAGTTTAAAGTTTTCGAGTTCGAATCAAAATAAAAAACTAAAGCTTGATTCAAGCTCGAAAAATTTGAACTCGAAATATTCTCAGACTTAGCTCGATTGAAGTTTAAACTCGAGCTCAAACATAAACCTTAAATACATGAAAGCCTTATATTATATATGTTTATATATATTTTAAAAAGAACAACATATAAATGTTAATATTATTAATAATTTAATTTAAAAACTCTAAAATCTTAATATATTATTATTTGGAGTTGGTTATGAACTTTTCAAGTCGAGTATCAAGTAACTGGTTTTGGTAGGTTAAAAATTCAAGTCTAATTCATTCGATTCGAGAGTTGACCGAACTTTGATCAAGATGATCTTAAAACACATATCCCTTACAACACCCCAAGGACGTAACCAAAGCCAACCCAACATTTTATACAGTGGCAATGATAAAGGCTGGAGCAATTGCACTGTATACTGCATCCACAACACAACAACACAAACTTCATCTTTTACTCACTTGTAGATTCATCGCTTGAAGGTTTTAAATCCTTTTAAAATGCTAAGTTATTCTTCTCTGCCCTATACATATATTATTGTCCTTCACAGTTCGTGTTATTATCAAGTTTGCTTCACTTATCAAATCACATCAATTACAAGATCCATAACATGTCATGAATGCACATGGTAATTGGTACATTATTATCATGTTGAGAACTTGTAAATATCATAATCTAGATAAAAGTTACTTAATAACTCATAGTAAATGTAAGTTAGACAAACTCAAATATATGGGTCGACTATATGGTACGTGTACGTACCATTTTTTCCGGTAAATAAAAAATAGTACGTCTTTTTAAAAATAAATGTGATGAGATCGGATCCAAGTAAATATATGCGAAGTAAAAGTAAGTAGATAAATGATTGCCACAACAATGAAGTTGTCAAGGCAAGTGCAAGAGATTTAGGTACGGAGGCAGAGTAATAAGGTTTTATGATGTTGTTGATGAGTTGGTTGTCATGGTAAGTTGCTTTAACTAAATGCTAGACAAAGTGGTCATCTGTGCTTTCCCACTATGTCTAGAGACAAGTTTGACGACAATTATTGTCACGAGATGCCACGATAATACATGTCTGAGTTAATCTTGGATTAATTGTCCTCTTTGTGTCAACTCCTTTTAGTAGCTTGAAATCCTCTTATTCCTAAGATAGGTTAGCCTTCATCAACTTTCGTGTAACGAAACTTATATTCAACAATTTAATTTCGTGAACTTAAGTCTTTCGATTCTTAGGTAAATAAATAAGTTGAACATTTATTCCTAAATAACTTAACAACAATTCAAGAAGCAATTGTTCAATAAACATTCAAATTAAATAGGTTTAAGTATACAAAAGGTGTCTAATCTATGTCCATTTTTTCAGTTTAGTGTCGAATGTTTCATTTCGTTACTCAAAATGAGTCAAACTGTGATGGTCTGTTAAGTTTGGCCGTTAACCTATTAAAAATACCACATGACATATTTTTTAATATTTAAAAATGATTTCTGAAAACAAGAAATTAATTAAAATGATTTTTGAACCCTAAACCGTTAACCCAAAACACCCTTTCAAGTTCTCAACTTTCTCTCTCAACCCCACCCCTGTTTACCACTCCACTACCACTTCTCCACCACTAATTCTCCTCTCCAGCTCCCTTCTCACCTCCTCCGTTGCCATCTTTCCCCTTCATCACCTTTCCCCTTCATCTCGTTTATCTCCTCCACCACCCTCTCCTACAACATCGCCATCGATATCATCAAACTCGATCCGAAAAACAAACGCCCTTCACTCCCCCTTAAAAAGCTCGACTATTGCCAACAACGGACCACTCCGTAGGGCATCATCATCATAAGCAATAAGCTCACATTCCTCATTGCGTATAGAACTCCTCTAAAACCATTAAACCCATTCATCTTCAATTCCATCGAAACTTTCTCCTCCAACTTCAACGAAAGTGGTTTGATTCTCGTTTCCATGAACGCCATGTTTTCTTCCTCCAGTCCCATAGCTTCTCTCCTACACCTCGAAATCGCCCTGATCACTTGTTTCCAGACCATGAACTTCAGTGAAATTATAAACAAAAAGGGGAATAAGCTTTGAGAATTTCAACTAGTTACTTGTATGGAAAGCCGGAGATTAAGATGTCTATGATCAAGAGATGAAATTATGTTGAAACTAGAAGAGTTTGGAACTTTCATCCATGAATTCATCAAGCAACTTATCACCAACGAGGAGACGAAGTTTTTCAACAAGTATAAGGGAAAGGACCCTTTGAAGGAATTGGATTGACAGGAAGTTATCGGGTTCCTTGTAAATTTTCAGATTATCCGGAAGAAATAGGAAGAGAGTGAAGAGGAGGAGGGGAAAAGGTTTAATTTTTCATTTTAATTGATTTTTTATTTTCAAAAATTATTGTTTAATAATAATAAAATATGGAAGTGACATTTTTAATATGTTAATAGTTAAATTTAACAGATCCGTCATAACTTGACCCATTTTGAGTAATAGAATGAAACATTAGACACCAAACTATAACGAAATAAACGTTAGACACTAAATTAAAAAAATAGACATAAATTGGACACATTTTATATAATTAAACCAATTAAATAATCAATCATAAAAATAACAACCGTTTAACAAATCATAAAAATTCCAAAACCCTCGCCAAATAATTCAGTTCATGATTAGGTTGAATTCGTTCGAACAAACACAATAGATCGTCAAAAGTAAAATCAAAAGAGAGAGAATATAAAATCGAAAGAAATAAATGATGTTTCCACCAATGTCTTCTGCCAGATCTTCAACAAGCACCTAAGCTTGTTCACGCGGCGGCTTCAATTCACGATGGGAAAAAGATAAAAATGGAGTAAGAGTTATATTCCCTTTAATTTCTTTAAGAGATAATTTCATAATTAAATATCTTCTTATCTTCTGTATCTTTAATTTAAAAAGGAGATAATTAAAAAGAAATTCATATATTTCCTTATCTCCTTTTTAAAAAAGAAATAATTTAAATTATCAAATTCATTTGTCTCCTCCTTTAATTAAAATCATTAAATTTTAATTCTCTTATCTTCTCCTTTAAATCTCAAAAAAGTTGAGGAGATTTGCAGGTCAAATAAATTATGGCTGGCTAGATTTTACAGCTGGCAGGTTGTAATTTCGTCCTCTCTATTCGTCCGCAGCAATTTGCATGGCAAGATTATCCTTCTGTTGTCACGAAAATTTTCCTAGATGGTAATTCTGTTCTATGGAACTCTCCCTCCTTGCTCTGAAAATTATCCTGCAAATGAAGAAAACGTATCAACAGCATTTTCTTCCGAAAAGAAGCATAAACATAGGGTAAGGCATACAAAACAGAAATTATCGAACATATGCAAGAAAATGTAATATGCAACTAAAATGACCCAAAGTACAAGCAATAATTATTATAAAGGTATACAAATTATACTACTTTTTGTGGACTTTTTATTTACATGTGAGAAAGGGTTAACATCATTATAATGCCTGTAAAAATAACGCTTACTTGTTCACAAATATTTTTGTTTAAATTTATGAATGCAGTTAATGTGTTTTCATATTAAAAAAGATATTTTAAATTCTCAAAGATAATCTCAGATTCTCTAATGGTTAAAAGAACCGAAATCAAATTCGAGTATTTAAAAAACTCCACATACTAATCTGTTTTAGAATTTCAAAAGCGAAGTCTATACTGGATAATTTAAGCATTCCCCGATGTCTAGTAGAATATCGATAATTTGACCTCACTCAAGAAGACACCTCAATTTTTGTGAATTATGCTTAAAAAATCAAAACTTACAACCTTTCGAAATACCCCTAATTTTATAACGTCTAAGAGAAATTAGGAATATTTCACGAAGTCCGACGAGTTCGTGATGCATCGTTGGAAAATCAAAGGTAGACTCTTTCACTAAAGAACCTCAACACCCTCCGACGTCTAAAATGATATCAAGAGTCCACTTAACTAAGACTATACTTATTTTAAGTAATGTTAAAAAAACATTTACCGTACACTAGGATCTAATTATGAAAATTTAAGCGAATTAAAAATGATTCACTAACCATTCTAAAATTCTAAGTCTTAATATTCTCTAATTCTAAAAATGTGTACTAAGTTCTCTAAGGCTACAAATCCTATACAATCATGAAAAAAATAAGGTTGAAAGAAATTTAACACTAAGATTAATTTGAAAAGATTCCAACTTGATCAACATCTAGGGCAAAAAGAACTCTTTTCGAACATCTGAATTTAATTTGAAAATAAAATGAGAAAATAAATATTAAATAATTATTATTTTTAGTGAAAATAAAATAAATTTGAAAGATTTTGATTTGTCTAACATCGAAGACAAATCCTTACATACCCATTTAAAAAGAAAATAAGGCTTAATATTTTTATTTGAAACAAGAATAAATCTAGGCCTGTAAATTAACTGAACGTTCAGCGAACCGTTCATGAACCGTGCGGCGGAAGTTCGTTTATTTATTAAATGAACGAACATGAACAAGATTTTGCGTTCGTTTAATTAAATGAACGAACATGAACAAAGAGCTCGTTCGTTCATTTACATTCGTGAACGTTCGATTATATGTTCGTTCATTTATATTCATTTATGTTCGTTCACTTATGTTCGAACAGAGGGCAAGTTGAATATGTTACGAAGATTATTGAAGTTGTTTGGATTTCAAGAAGAATGTTTTGTTGAACAAATTAACTTTAAGGCTTTATTTTGTTCATATAGCTTATTTATGATTTATGTATGTTTTTTTCGTATTTGAACAAATTAACTCTAAAGTTGCAGGTTATATTAATGAATTTTAAGTTGTTATTCTTGTTGTTTACTTTTTTTTACATTCGTTTGTTGTATTTGATTAATTTTTTTTTGTGTTTGTGTTGTTCGTTTATGTTCGTTTATGTTCGTTCGTTCGTGTTAATTTATGTTCGTTTATTATTTAAATGAACGAACATGAACAAGCTATATTCCTTAATAAACGAACATGAACAAAAAAAATTTTGTTTGTTTATGTTCATTTATGTTCTTTTATTTATTAAATGAACGAACATGAACATACTTCCGTTCGTGTGCGTTTGGTTCGTTTATAGGCAGTTCGTGTGCGTTCGGTTCGTTACGGACCTAAATAAATCAAAAGAATTTATATTGCCTAACGTCTAAGACGATAATTTTTCTCTGTTTATTCTTATCCCGCCTTTAAAAACAAATAATTACTTTTTAATTTTGAAAATATAATATTTAAAAATAATAAATCTAATAAATAAATAATTATATATAAGTTCAAAAGAAAAATTAAATATAAAAATAATATTTACATAAAATATATTTATAAATTAATATATCCAAAAAAATATGTGCATTATTAATGCATAATTTATACCTATAAAATATGATATACAACATATAATAATATTATAAACATATTATTTAATATAAATATACATATACTATATAAATATAAAATACAAAATATACCTACATACATAATATACATGCGAATATTAATAACGTAAGGTGACATGTATTTTTGAAAAGGTGACCAAAATAAAAGAAATAGAACCTAACTATCTAGGTTTGAACATAATTAAGTTAAAACAAAACAATTACAAATTTATGGGTTTGAATATAAATATCTAGAAGTTAAAACTAAAATGCTATTAGGATTAAAATGAAAATGGTAAATAAAATGGTTAGAATATAAAAAATACAAATACAGAGCCAAAAAAAACATAAGCATACATAAGGACAATTATTTTCTCATCAAAAGAATTTTATTAATATCGAAATGAGCCGGACCAAATTGTATGCATCGTTAAAAATCTCCCTAGTCCTAGATGGAGTAAAAGAGTGTCATAATGTTTTCCTTAATAGCCCAGCGATGAGCAGGATCAATTAGACTTAAAAATTCTGAATTTGAGAAAAGGTGGTGAAATTTCAATTTTGAAATAATTTGATTTGGAATCGCTATCGACCTTTGGGAATGATCATCACCCCCACAACGCCTAAACATGGTACCCAAACGATTATACATTGTCTAAATATCAATATTGAGAATTGCAAGCTCGAACATATATTAAAATTATGATTCTTTTGTTCATTCGAATTTATTTTGAAATGAGTTATTTTTTTAAAATGGTTTTCGACTCAGAAAATGAGTTAATTCACTCGAACTGGTTCAAGAAGGATGTCTTTTCGATTCAAGAAAATCAACGAAGATCGTCATCTTTTAGAGTTAGAATACTAACTTTTAAATTCTCCCAAACCAAAACATCATTGTCTTCAAATTTATTAAAACCAAAACATAATGACAAGTAATAAATGCAATGGGCTCTCCTCACAAAATGATTATTATTATTATTATTAGAAAAAAAGTTGCATCATTTTTTACGAATTCTTGAAAATGCAATTCCCTTTTAGTTGGGAGATTTTTTCATGGGCTCTCCTCACAAAATGATGTTTCCTTAATTTTATTGATACTTTTAAAAATACATATAATATTATATTAAAATTTTTTCAAAAAACACTCAAATAATGGATGCTTTTTGTATGAACAATTATTGGAAATGAACTTCCTTCGTAGTTATAAGATTTTTCCATGGATTCCCCTCACAAGAAGACATTGATTTAAGTTTTACTCAATATTGAAAATGAAATGAAAAATATTACGAAATTAAAAAAAATCGGATATAAACCGAAACTTTTGTGCAAAAATTCCTCGGAAACACGATTCTCTTGTAGTTGGGAGATGTCATCATAGATTTCATTTACAATGAAATTTGTCTCTCATGTACATAAAAATATTATGATTTATAATAAAATAAAGTTTGAATAATACATATAATATAAAGGTATGTGCATATAAGGAGGTAAGGGCCATATTAAACAAATAAAAAAATACGGTGATTAAATATCTAAATCAATAATCGTTGATTGAGGACTAAATCAAACATAAATGGAAGCATCAAAGGACTATTCATGCTATAAACCTGCTAACTTAGAGTTTAAAATATCTATCAAATATTTGTTATATATTAGCAATAAAAAATGAAGGACTAACATGGATACTTTACAGATTAACATCCAAAATTAAAAACACAACATAAATATGATAAAGAACAAACAAGGCTGAAATATAAATAATGTAAAGCATAAGCACTGTAAATAAATAAACCATAAGAGATATTGATGACTAGAATAAAATAAATTGCAAATTAATATGCATAAGTAAAAATTACAGAAAGTTAAATGTTAGAATTCAAAGGACCAAAATTAAAGTCTGGAAATTAAAGAGGCAAAAAATTAAAATACTGAAAAATGAAGTGCTGGAATAAAAATAACAAAAATATTAAATTGCATGAAATTAGAAGATAGGGGGTTATTTTTTAATATTTTACCCGAACTATAAATAATGTGAATCATACTCCGGGCAGGTCATCGCAAAGTCGTAAAATTAATTTGAACAATAAAAATAAAATAGTTAGCGGGTTAGTTTTAGAATTTTACCCGATTCATAAATAATATGGATCATACCCCGTGGCGGGTCACCGCAAAGTTGTAGAATTAATTCGAGTGTTATGATAAATTAAAGGCAGGTCAATGACCAAATTAAAAATAACGAAAATAATAGGCCAAAAATCAAACAAATAAAAAAGGAATGCAGTAACCATAATGTAAAAATGTGTTTAATGTAGAGGGCCACGAGCGTGATTTTCCCATTAACCTAGATATATATTATATTTTTTTGTCATTTTAGGTAAAACCTAAAACTTTTTTTTCCTCTCAAATCCTCTCCCCTCTCACTTCTCGATCGACCTCCTAAGGCCCAAGAAAACCCACCGACCACTGTAGATCGATGACCACTTGCTTTTTCGACCGCCGCTAAAGCCCTCACTCTCTACCCTAGATCGTAAATCAAAGCCCATGAAACCAAACAAAGAACCCTAGCCCCTTTATTTTCTCTCGACCGAAACCAAACAACCCCTTCCATGCAGTAAATAAATTGTTTTCACTCTTCGGCCACCACCACCAGTGGTCGATCGATGCTAGACCAAACCTAAACAAACCAAAACTTAAGGAAACTAAGCAAAGACCCCCTAAACTGTCGAGTGACTCTCGACCTTTGGACTTCTGGCGACAATGACCCCTAAAGACGGTGTCTTTTTCCTCTACGATGACCTCTCTACACCAATAAGGTGTTCAAAGGATAAGGTAAACAAAATTAAACCCCTCTCTCTATATTTTTCTTCCTTTTTTTTTAAAAAAAGAATGTTTTGCATGCAAAAACACTAAAAATTACCTTGAAGTATCTGTGTATTACTTTCAAATCTCGAATGATTTTGGGGGGTTTCGCACCCTTTTACATTAGTTTTTTAGGCTTAGATATACCTTCAAAAATAAATAAAATAAATTAATAAAGGGTCTTTCGATTCTGGTTTCTTTTACTCTTTTGTTGCATGTATGAGAAAAGCAAAACATCAGGCTCCTTTTTCGTTGATGGCTTAATAGTGGTTGATCTAACGGTTGGGAGAGGCCCTCGACAGTCTTCGTTATCCTTTTTTCATGGGGATGCTCTGCCATTGTCATGGCATAGGGGACATGGCAGTGGTGCTCGCTCGATCTCTGGCCTCGGGTACAACCGACGTGGCACACAGAGCTAGTGTGGGGACAGATTGGAGCGCGTGGCTACTGAAGATGTTATTTTCGACGCGTTGGGGAAGGTGGAACAACATGCGCGTGCAATCGACGCAGGCATATCAACGATCAATCTTCATTGGTAGCGGCAGTGTTGAAGTATCTTATGGTAACACATTAATCCTTGATTCATTTGGGCCGTTGGATCTAAAACAGATCCAACAGTCGAAAAGTGGTTGCACAACATCTCTTGTCTAGGGTAATGAAAATCCTAAAGTTGCTCTTGATCTAGACCGTTGGATGTGTCCAGATCTAACGGCTCCTACTGAACGGCGCTAGATACTAGCATCAGAAAACCTTTGCTGCTTGGGTTTTTGTTCGTGGGCCTACCTTGGGCTTGTCGGCTGGATTGGGTCATTTGGGTTGTTGATTGCTTTGCTTGATTTACCTTGGTTTTATTGATTGAGATTGTAATATATTTGGACCAGCACATGTAAATGAATATTAGGATTCTTTCATATATATATATATATATATATATAATCGATGCCTTTATAACATATACTTAATATAATTATGGATAACCCAAAACATATTTAATATTTAAAACTTACTATATATATATATATATATATATATATATATATATATATATATATATATATTTAATTAGATTACGATAACCAAATTATATATTGAATAGAACCGAAATTGAACTTTATATATATATATATATATATATATATATATATATATATATATATATATATATATATACACACACATTGTAACAATGAACTATAAATAAAAGTCTACAAAATATATGATATAATAATACTAGTAATAAATTAATACTGATAATTAAAAACTACAATTAAGAATAATAATTTTAAAGGAGGAAATCAAATTGAAGTCCGGACTAAATATAGTGCCTACAGAGAGTACATACAATTTGGATAAAAAAACTTGCAACAATAACATACAATACGATCCAAAGGTCCAAAAAAAAAAAAAACAAGTCAGGACTAGTCTACACACACGCAGCAGCCACTACACCAAAATCGCAGATCTAAAGACACTAGAAACGTATCTATATCTGCAATTACACTTCAACCAACACCAGAGAAGTAAACAACACTAATAAGCAGAAGTTCTCCACTAAAACAAAGAACAAAACCATAAGCTAACACACCCAACAGAGGACTAAATCACTATAGATTGCACAAATCAGCAAAGATAAATTCGAGCATCTATTGCCAGCAAAACAAACTCAAAGGACCTAAACAAGCAGCACAGATGCAGACCAAAGCACTGGAAACGATCTATAGAATACACCAAATATAAGGATACCGCCAAGCCTTGAACAAGGAAGATCCACGCATACTGTCTGAATTGAGACCATTCGCCATTGCGTTACTTAGCCTGGAACATAGTAGAATTCGTGTCTCCCAATTCTCTTCGCTAAACGGTCTATCTCCAAAAAAACTCGGCCACCAATTCTATGGTCTAAGAGACACATTATCTAACCATTTAATGACAATAAACAAATCAGACTCAATAACCAACGGAGCCTTCCTAATCCATCCCACTTCCAAGAAAACTTATAAAGCCACCTGTACAGCGAGAATACCAGCGAAGACAAATCCTAAACCATCAAGGCCAAAAACCATCCCTCTAATCACCCTCCTGAGTATGTAAAATACCTCTGCACCCTGCCTTACCAATATAATTCGCTCCTCCTACATTCAATTTCAAATCACCAGTCACCGGAGGGGACCTGGAGGGCAATGACGCCTTCCAGGATAGCAACCTCAGATTGTCCCACCCCTCCTCAAGAATGAAGGAGTCCTCTCTATTCGAAGCCTTAATCCAGAAAAGCGCCCGCAGATTAGCGAAGAAAAGCACATCGACAAAATTTGCAGCTTTACCATCAAAAACATTATCGCTTCTTGCTAACCACAAACTCCAAATCGCCGCTCTAGCCGCAATCAACCATAAACTCCTTTGGATCCCTGACAACTGAACCCTAAATAAAAATTCCAGCAAGCTGCACACATTTGATGGCGGAGCTCAGTGGGTGCCTCACCAACCATAAGATGATTCCCAAAAACCAGACACTGCAACACATCTCACAAAAATATGCATAACATCTTCACATTCCACTCCACACCAAGGACATAAGCAAGTCGAATCCTCCAACAAAATGTCTTTCTTTCTTAAAAGCATTTTGTAGGCATTCTATCGATAGAAAGAAACCTCATGAAACTCTTGACTTTTAGCAGAACTTTCAAACTCCAAACACCATCAAAGTTGAATATAGAATCAGCCACTTCCATGTTTAAAATTAACTCCAAAAACTTTTTGACTGAGAAACAGTCAGGCTTGTCATGGACCCAAACCAACCTATCACGATCGAACGATTGTAATACCACCTCTTTAACTGAATCTGCAATCTGCCTAACTACCTCTACTTCCTTATTAAACTTTTCCAAAACTTCCGACGAAGTCACACCTCTCTCAATAGCTAACATATACAATCTTGGCAACTTAACGCACCAGGGTAAACGATCAAATCAAACGTCTTCCCAAAATAGAATCTCAATCCCATCTCCAACTTGCCAATGGAAGGCATCGTCACTCGGCCATTTAGCAACATTGTCCTTCTAATTAGACAAGATTCTACGCCAGACAATCGACATTTACTTCACCAACGAGAAGTACATCCTTTATCTCCTAGGCACCCCTCTATATTTTGAGCAAATAATCCATCTCTATAAAGCGCGCTTTTCTAACGCATAATGCCAACCCCATTTAACCAGTAAAGCACAGTTTTTTACTCTTAAGTTGACGACTCCAGCTCCGCCTTTGGAACGAGGAATACAGACTTTGTTCCAGTTTACTCACGCCAATTTTCTTTTCCCATCTACCAAACCCCACAGGAAACCTCTTTGAATTTTATCAATCCTTGACAACACTGTATTTGGAATCTCGAAGAGGGACATGTAATACAACAGTAAGGAGGGCAAAACCGAGTTGATAAGAATAACTCGGCCAACGAAGGCAAAGTCGAACCTTTCCAACCTGCTAATATTGTTCGAAACCTGTCCACTACCGGATCCCATGTAGAAACCTTTATCGGATCAGTACCAGGAGGAATACCGAGGTAAAGGAATGGCAACTTCCCCACCTAACCTCTGCAGACCTTTCACAAGTCTTTCGGTGGGCCCAGAATTAAATTTCAACTTAAATAAGTGTGTTAGACGACCATTTATCTTTAAAAATAAAAATTAGGTTGATTGGACACATCAATTTATTTTCTTACCTGATATGCGTCTTACCAAAAATATGTCGGGCTCGGGAGTCAGTTACAGTCAATGAAGGATTAACACTCTTGTAATGTCATTTTGGTACTAATTTAATTTTCAGTTGTCTTAATTAAGAAAATTACAAGTTAAACTAAGAAGTAAAAATTCTATCCAAACTACTCACCTTTAATTGATTTAAAGTACCCTAAAAAGATAAAAAAATGTTAGATTGCAAAAATAAAATATTGAATGAATCAAAAGGAAAAATTATCAAAAATTAGGTTTTAATACTTTAAATGAAACAAAGACAAAAAGAAACACGCATATATATACATACCGAGAAATAAACGGAAATAAAATTAAAAGAATATAACACAAAAAACAAATGGAATAAAATCATGCCCAATAAGAGTCGGATCATGTATATTAGGAAAACGTGGAATAAAAAGAATAAAAAACAAATAATGTAAAGGGAAGACAAAAAAAGAATTGCAAAATAATTAAATTTAAAAATAAAAATTGTGATGCAAAAATAAAATAAAGATGAGTAAGGGCGAATTTGATAATTAAAACAAAGTACATGACAAATTTAAAAAGAAATTTTAATGAAATTCGGCCAAAGGGGTAAAAATCAGTCTTCAAGAAAAGTTTCAGGGACTAAAACTGTAGTTTGACCCCTTTCAATTGAAAACAAGCGGATCCTGGGGTGAAATGGTCGGGTTTCAGGTTGGCTATAAAGCCCAAAAAGAATAAACAAATTTCATTTTTCCCTTCTCATCCAAAAATGAATCAAAACACAAAGCCTCATTTTCTTGAAGTGTTCTTCGATAGAAGAAGAACATTCAACCGGAGTTTATGGAAACCCAGATTCCGACCAAGCTTTCCCTCGCCGGCCGCTGTAGACTGTCCTCGGCCACCGTTTGTCGACGATGAAACAAAGCCATTTTTCACCATTCAAAAGCCCACGCTCTCCTCTTTTCAAATCTCACCATCATCTCCGTTAAAAAGCCTCGAGGAGAGCTAGATCTAAAAAACATATTTCGCACTCAACCTCTTCTGGTCATCGGCTTCCTCCATTCGTGGGTTTTTTTTTCAAAAAGAAGAAGAAGAAAAACAAACATAAAACTCAAACAACCACATGCAAGCAGAAACGATAAAGGTAAAAACTAATACCTTATTTTTATTGTCATTTCTTTTCGAGATTTACAAGTACTTTTTGCCTTCGATATAACTTATACTTTTCTCTTTGATTTTGTAGGAATTTATAGCCTAAGAGTCCCTTGTTTTTAGTTCGGTTTTGAGTCCTAATTGGGTTAGGATACTATATTGGTTAGGATACTATATTGGTTGCTGCAGTGAGGACTCTCCAAGAGTCCTCGGTTTGACCGCCAGTTTACCCTTTGACTGATGGATGTGCGGCACTAAGGGAAAGGGGATGAAACCCTAGTTTCCCTAGAGCAGGCCTGGTCTGTTGGGCCTAGTGGGTTGGTCTTCGGGTTGGACCTAACACAAAAAAAACCCAACAAAAACATTAAAAAATAATAATAATAGAAATGTATAATAATATAATATATAATATAATATAATATAATATATGTATTATGTAAAATACTATACAGTTTAATAACATACATAATATGTATGTTATACCATATAATAAAAATAATAAAAAACTATAAATATATAAAAATATGTTTATATTATATAATATAAATAACATATTATATAATGAGGTTGGACGAAAATGTGTGGCTACAGCTGCCCTTCTTTGCCCATAGTCGTGTAATGGGAATAGGGCAAAGATTAAGAGACATTATTTTCATCCATCATGAATGGATCACCAGGTCCAACATCCTCTATTATGGGGGTTGATTCCCATCTTATCAAATGTCTTCTGTAGCAAAGTTGATGTAACATCCCAAAAACAAGACTAGTGACTGGAATGTAATTTTTAAAACTTTGAGGTCTAATTTTAAAAAATTAAAAAGTTTAGGGACTTAATTGGTAATATTTTATGAATGATGGTTTAATAAATATTGAATAAAGTAAGGGTAAATTGGTCTTTTCAAATGAAGGAGTTTTTTTTTATTTTCCTTTATAAAGGATATTTAACACTTCGAATGAGAGAAAAGAAAAGAAAAGACTAGAAACCTTGTTTGTCTTTTTCCTCTGTCGTGAGCTTCATTTCCAAAGGTAAGTTATGAAATTTGGTTAGTTTCTTTAAATTTTTGGTGGTTGGTTTTAAGCATGGGTTTTATACAAGCTTAAGGAAAGCTTAAAGTGGTTTAAAACTAAAAGATGGATAAGTTATGGGTGATTTTTTAAAAGGGGTTTTAAGTGAAATTGTGGATAAGAGTTAGTAAATGGATTCTGAAGTTGAATTTGACTTGTCATGAGTTGAAATAAGTAATTCAAAGTGTTAGAAATGAATTTGGAACATGTTGATTTATTGGCATGATTATTGAATTCAAGTGTACTAGTTAGATATGGGAGGTTAAGATGAGTTAAAGTGAAAATAGTTGATTTGAATAAGTGTGGTTGAGTTTAAAAGCTTGAAAGAAGAGTAAAATAAAGAATTTAGCTAAGTATGAGTGCTTTTTGGGTTAAAATAAAAAATTTCTGGCATGGGGTATCAGTACTGTTCAACCAGTATTGATACTTCAAAGCAAAATGAGTACAAATTTAGCTTGGGGTATCGATACTGAAAGAACAGTATCGATACCATATGATAAAATTGGATGAATTCTTTAAGAATTATCGATACCCAAAGAGTGGTATCGGTACTTGTTTAATAGGTATCGATACCAAGTGTCTAGTATCGATACCATTTTCAAGTTACAAGTTCAAAATGTCAAAATAGTATCGGTATTGAGGAGAGGTATTGATACCATAGAAGAGTAGTATCGGTACTGTATGAGGAGTACCGATACTATTGAGTATAAAATGCTAAGTTAAGTATTTCTTTCAGCCTAAGTTATATTGATTGGTTATAAGTGAATTGAACTCTGATATTCATATAAGTTGTATAATTGTGTAGATATTGATCGAAAGTGAGTATCTGATAGGTCAACGAGATAAGATCGAGCACGAAGAGATAAGTGCAC